GCCCATAGGGGCCATCGCTGAGCGAACGCTCCAGCGATGGCCCGGGACCCCTCGTTGTGCGGTTTCATCGCATAGCGAAGCGCTCACTATGCGAGGCACCACTGTACTTACTTCCCAGGATTTGCAGGTGTTCATTATGCCTAGAGACTGTTTGTTCTTGTGAAGATGAGCCAACGTCGTTTCTCAGGACTGATAACCAAAACATTCCTTACTAATGGCATACCAGCCTGGGATAAGAGGAGGAGCTGTGGAAAGTTACAAGTTGGGCGTGGAGTTGGGGACAGTACTTACTTCCCAGGATTTGCAGGTGTTCATTATGCCTAGAGACTGTTTGTTCTTGTGAAGATGAGCCAACGTCGTTTCTCAGGACTGATAACCAAAACATTCCTTACTAATGGCATACCAGCCTGGGATAAGAGGAGGAGCTGTGGAAAGTTACAAGTTGGGTGTGGAGTTGGGGACAAAGGACTGTACAGCGGTGCCCCGCATAGCGAGGTTAATCCGTTCCGGATTAACCTTCGCTATGGGGAAACATCGCTATATGGAACGGAAAAGCCCATTGGAACGCATTAAACTTTGTTTAATGTGTTCCAAATGGGCCCAAAACTCACCATTTTGCGATGTTTCCCCATAGCGGCAGCCATTTTCACGCCCTCGGTAAGCAAGGGCAGGGCGCGAAAACGCTGCGCGTGGCCATTTTGGGTCTTCCAGTGGCCATTTTGGAACCGCTGATCAGCTGATTTTAAAAAAATGCTATGCGAAGATCGGTAAGCGAAATGCTTAGCGATCGTCCTGATCAGCTGATTTTAAAAAAAAGCTATGCAAAGATTGGTAAGCGAAAAGCTTAGCGACGATCGTCACTAAGCGATTTTTGCCCATTGGAACCATAGGTATGCCTTCGCATTAGCGATCCCAAAAAACGGATCGCTATGCGAATTCGTCGTTATACAGTGCACTCGTTAAGCGAGGCACCACTGTATGCTGATTGGATACCACTATGGGACAGAGACTTTGATTTAAGTTATAGAAGAAGGGGGGCTAAATAAGTTGTTGGTGTATGTGTGTAAGTTGGAGAAGGAGATGGATGACAGGTTTACAGCTTTCATTGATGGATTGGGGACTTAGTCATGGTAATTTAGAATAGCCTAGCAATTAAGTAGTAAAGCTATTAGTAAGTATTTTATTGTTTATGGAAAAGTCTTACAGAAGCTTATTTAATACCTAGATGATGTAAGTATTTTATTGTTTTATGGAAAAGTCCTACAGAAGCTTATTTAATACCTAGATGACTTGCCTTTAAACCAGTAAAATTGTATTTTTTCTGTATTTTTCTTTGTTTTACAACTTTTTACTCTTTTTAAATAAATATTCTATATTTTACCCCAGTGTGATTCTTGGGGGCAAGGGCAAGAGTGCCTAAAAAGTGCCTTAGCCAGAAGGGCTTTATTTGCTATTTTTGGTTATTTGGGTGTCCTATCTAGTCAAGTTAGTGTGCAAAGATCAAAGTACACAGCTAAAGTGTTTTGTGCCTCAATAAGGGAGTAATTGGAAATCTAGGGACCTACTAGATCTCATCCAGTTCCCACTCATGCACCTACTAGATCTCATCCAGTCTAGAATAAAAAGGTGGTGGATGCTGGGAACTAGAGTAGGCTCCTTCCCGTAGTGGAATGACTTCTCTAACGAGAGGCGTTCCTGAGAGATACATTCCTCCTCTTCTTCTAATTTTTCTGTGCATTTTCTTTCTTAATGACTCTAAAAATCAGTGTTTGCTATTTTTACCTTAATATTTACACACATCTCTAGCACTTGTGGAACTACAGCAACCACAGCATTTGTCCTATTTTCACTGTCAAGTTATATTCCTACCAAATGAATCCCATTCTATTTGCAAAATACAGTATATAAGCAAGGTTCAGTCGGTAACTTCTAGCTTCATTATTGCGACATACTGGTTTGGATGGTCCAAGAATACGAGCTGCTATTCCCTTGCCTTCGTTAGTATAGTCTTCGTTTTCCTTTTTTACAGGGGACCCCTGGAAAATAAAGAGGAGCTGCGATGAAGCATCTAATACAATAAGGGAAATGAAAAGGCAGACTACACAAGTCTGCACAGTGACACTCAAAGGAATTCTTAATGTAGTAATAGCTACAGCTAATTAGAGAATACCCTGCATTACACAGATTTCTGTACATAAGAGATCTACGTGATTGGGCAACACAAAAAACTTCCACAAAGCAACAGTTCCAGACGACACCTTCTATAGCAGACAAGTACGTGACTTCAGTATGTCTGCACATAAGACACACAAGTGGATCTTACACACCAGTTCTGAAACTTGGGGTTTACACTACACAAATCCAATACGATTCTGGCCATGGTCAAATTACTCTTTCATTTTCATTTAAATTTTAGGAAACATAATTTATGTAACACATATTTACAAAGCAGGTGAGGTGATTTTCCAATACAACTACAAAGTGAAAATCAGTCATACTCAATGAGACCATGCATACCGGAAAAATTCCATTTATGCGACTGGGTTTCCCCTTTGGATAAGGGTTACCAGGAATCATGCCACAGGAAGATATCATAGCATGAGGTGCTTTACACCCTGCTTTGGAAGCCTGCAATATAAACCAAAAATCAAATCAGATAGAATGACACTGGACTGCAGAATGAGACTTACAATTTTGTAAGCAAGGCAGGATGTTGATTGAATGACACATAGTATAATGTTCAGATATAAAGTACTAGATTCTAGGTGGGCAGTGAGAGGCTGATTAACATAGCAATTAGCAAAGTAATACGGTAGATTCCACATGGATGGCAGGAACTTTAGCAAGTTCACGACAAACATGACCCTTACTGCAGAAATGCTTCTATAATTGCTAGGATTGAATTAATCTAAGTGCATCTTACAGCAGCTGTTCAGCTAGTATTTGTGCAACTAATTGTGTAGGACATTACATGAGTGGCAAAGGTACAAAAGAGAGCAGTGTCAGATGTAACTCTCCATAGCTAGTTAGTGGAATGCTTCAGAGATCCTTCATTTACTTTGTAAATTGAATTCAAAACAAGATCTTTTAAAAGATAATCAGATCAAGACCACAGAACTACATAGCTCTTCAGTAGGCAACAGAAAAAACTAGCAACACAAGTACAAATGTTACATTCAAAAGAGTGGAAAATCCACAGAGAAACAACTCTCAGTTTCTTCACAGTTTCAAATGCTTAGGGTTCAGGAGACACATGAAAACAATGTAGTGAAAATATTCAGACTGTGAGGGATTCTGTTTTACTACCACAAGATCCATTTTTCAGCCCTTCTGAGATTCAATTAATTCCTGTTTATAGGGTCTTATAATCAGAGATGGGCATGAACCACTGGTTCATCCAAATTACTAACAGTTGTTCGGCATTTCTCAGACCTGCCTCCTCTGGTGGACGGTGGCCCAGTTTCCCTGCCCTGCCTCCTCTGGCCGCTGCCACTGAGTGGGTGCTCACTGGAGGAGGAGAGGTTGGGAAGCACCGAACACCTGTTCATCCAAATGACAACTGGCACAAAATGCTGAACTGGAAGTTTGTGGCCATCTCTACTTATAACCCATGATTTTATATATTTGCATTTTTAAAAATTATATAAACCCAACCCCAGTGACTGGCTGTGCACTCATACCTGTTCCAAAATTTTTCTGCATCTCTTCTTCTCAGACATGCTAGTTCGGAAGAGGTCTTCGATAAGGCGGTAATTCTGAGCATCAATAATATTACTGTAAAATGATGCATTTAGAACATTAATAGTTATCACGTGAACAATCAGCAGAATTATACTTTAATGTGACTAGGGTTTCTTAGCAGCAGAATTAAAAAACAAAGCTAGTTTAAATATAGTAAATACAGATTTGCTAAATTTAAATATAGAACTAGCTAATATACACAGGATAATACCAGTCAGTCAGACCCCCATTAGGTAAAATGTCTTAAAACATTGAATCTTTCACTTCATCAAACATCAACAAGATTTATGCTAGTTCTGACTACAACAGTAGGCATGCAAGATGAACAGCTGATACTTACGAAGCCAACAGTTCTAAGGCAATAAGCCTGTCTTTGCTAAAAGTGAAACAGTTGAGGATGTTAACCACTTTTGCTGCAGAAACAGCTACCATTTTCTAGGGAAAAAGAAAAAAGAAAAAACAGAAGACAGATCAAGAAATGCTTCATCAGCTCTTAGGGAAAGCATCTTAGAAATACAGATGCTTGACTCATTAAATGGATGCATGAAATGGTGTGTGTATGTGTGGGTAAATCATAGTAGAGTTTGGAAAGCCTATTATTTGGATGGCAACTCCAAGGATAATGGAAAAGAGGATTCTGAGAAACGTAGCCCAAAAAAGTAATTTATTTGAGCTTGATTAGCAAAAGAGGATTTAATGAAAATATTGCCTCTACTAGAAAAACTTACATGTTGTAATGCCTTCATTGCCTTTAATTGTGGTTCAGCCCAAGAGAAGTACCTCAGTAACTCAACAATCTGCAACCAAAGACATAACAGATAATCATACATGCAAGCACATTATTTAAATGAAATAATTCATTCATTGCTAATAATTTATCTGTAAGTAACAACAACACTTCAGGAAATCTCCTTGATTTTTAATAGAAAAGAAAGTTTGATTACTAAATTTTATACATTACATATCAAGCATGATTATCACAAATTCAGCATGCCTAGATACTTTTACTTCCAAAATTAAACCAGATACAAGATTTTAGGACTTGGATTATGAGCCTAGACTGAAGATTTATGATTGGAATTTTGCACCCCACCTGTCCTTGTGGGGGATGGTGGTGAAGTCACCTTATCATGAAGTCACATCTACCTTGTTACTCTATGGCACCAAATAATACTCTACGATTTACAAACCTTTTGTTCATTTCACAGCATGTGATTCTTGGATCAATTACCAAGGAAAACATCCTCTCCTGCTGGACCATGGAAAGCTGTCCTTCTCTCTCAGGCCTAGGGAAGGAGTGGGTAACATATGGCTCCTCAGTAGCCCTGGTCCCACAGCAACCCACATCTTGCGACCTTTTACAACGTAGGGGATCCAAAATATCTAATTCTGGGGGTGTGGAGGGCAGGTCTGCCATGTTTTAAGGCATCTCCTGCATCCTTACCATTTTTTTTTAAAATCAAACCTCTTTTGCCATTAGAGGGAAATTTTCCATTTCCCCCCCTAAAAAACCCCCACACAATTTTTATACAGCAACATTTGGTGGTGAGGGTTGCAAGAACCCTTGCAAGGACAGGATTGGGGAAAATCTATCCCTGTTCTGAGGGCATTGGGGGAGTTTTACATTTCCCCAAAATGTGTTTTGGATGCCAAAAATATGGTGAAATTGCCTTGTGCCTCTGGAAGACACCATGACCCTTTCTACATAAAAAGGGAAGCCAAGGGCTGAGGTGACACAGTGGTGGCACACAGCCTGTGGGCCGTAGTCTGCTCAGTTTGATCTACAGGAGATAAGCCCAATGCCAAAATATATCATAACATCAGTAACTTCTTTATTTATCACATTTGTTCATCCATATCTACTATTCCAATGTCCTTAAGGCAATATATATCACTCTCCTCCTCACACCATGATCAAAAAAATGCTAAGAGGCAGATCAGACAGAAAGAGCAAGAACAAGAGAATGCATAATAAACAATTGCCAGTGAACAGGTTCTATGCCTTAGCGAGCACGTGAACCTGAATTTCCTTTCTTCCACTCCAATTCTCTAACCACTACATCGCACAGCCTGTCACCCCCATTCTGAAAGGGAAAAATGAGGCATCTTTAGCAGGCTTTTCCTGCTATAGCATGTTGTGTGTTCATTCTTATCTTCCAGAGTTCGTATAACTTATTAGTTCTTCAGGATTACCTGCTCACTAGAGAAGTATCCATGTACATATTCAATGGCTTTTAATTTGTATTCCATCAACACAGCCTGTTAAAAACAAAATATGCATTGTCAAAATGGAACCAGAAATTAGATTTCCAAGACATTTCAACAACAAAATATCAAAGATTATTATCCAATCAGGACTTTTAACCTATCAGATATTAATAAAACCTCTATGTTATTCTTTGTACCATCTATAAAGACTACTATCCTAAGCATATCTTATATAATAAAGCAGAACCCAATGTGAAATTCCATTCACAGAAACATCTTTAGGATCAGGATGCAAGAGGTACTGTAGCACAGACACACAATCAGTACCTCCCATTAAAATCAATTTAGTTATTGGTTTTATAAAATAATATATTAAATATAACTTATTTATCTTAAGACAAAAATAAATTCCTGCATATACCATTTCCCCCTCATCTATATAATAATATTTCAACTACTCAAAACTCCACTGTCCACATAAACAATCATTTCCTCCTCCCCACAAAAAATCCAATCCAAAATTTGAACTTTCTATCATACTACTCTGCCAAATGGAAAAGCAACATTTTCAGTTGTTTATACAGTTGTATAACTTCGTTCAGATTTTTCTAATCCCGAATTACCTTTCTAATTTCATCAAGCACCATCTCAAATGCTTTCTTATCCATATTGTGTTCTTCAGAGGCACAGCCTCCTGTTTGGTCCAGGCACTCTTTACTGCAGAACTGTCTTCTGTTGAAAAATACATACACAAACAGAAGAAAATTAAAATCTGCTTACACATTCATCCACAATACTCATCGTGATCATGTGCCATCAAGTCAATTCTGACATATGTTGACTCTTCTCGGGGTTTTCCAGGTAGAGAGTACTCAGAAGTGGTTTACCATTCCCTTCTCCTTGGGGGCATCTTGGGACTGTGCAGTTTGTCTGAGGCCAAACTGGCTGGCTTTTCTGGGATGCGCAACTAGAGATGAGGATTTTTTTAAATGAGTTACTTCCTTAAGCTTCTGGACTGGGGATAAGATTTAGAAGCATTTACAGTGGTGCCTCACTTAGCGATGTTAATCCGTTCCGGAAAAAACGTTGCTAAGCGATTTTTAAAAGCCCATAGAAACACATTAAAACTTGTTTAATGCGTTCCTATGGGCTTTAAAACTAACCTTATGTGAAGATCCTCCGTTGCGGCAGCCATTTTCGGTGCCTCTAAAGCAAGGCAACACATCGGGGGGCCATTTTGTTTTCTGGCGGCCATTTTGAAACCACCAATCAGCTGGCCGAGAATGGGGGCTTTGCAGTGATCGTTTCCCTGCAATCATCGCAAAGAGATTTTTCCCTATAGGGACCATCGCTAAGTGATCGCTCTGGCGATGGCCAAAACCCCATCGCTAAGCGATTTCATCGCTCAACAGAGCGATCGCTAAGCGAGGCACCACTGTATTCATGTTCTCCTGAAAAGTGTTTCCTACCCATCCCCGTGTTCACTCTGTGAAGCCACAAAATGTATTCAAGCACCTGTGCTCCAGTTCAAAACCATTAACACAAGATCCTCAAAGCTACAGTATCTTCTAATGAGCAGCCTTCCATCTAAAACACTGAAGCATGAGCTAAAGTAACAGCAGTTCATTTCAGCTAATTTGCATATCTAAAACAAGTCTAAATGGTGATTATTTGATACAAGTTGACTACCATCTAAGCTGTTTCCTGCCTTCAGCATGTATACACTGTCATCCTTACCTCCTGGAGCCCTCAGGATGCTGTCCCTAAGCAGAATCTAGAGTCACAATTCTGTAACTAAGGAGGAAGGAAAGTGTATCATCTACTTAGGAAACCTCATGCCATCTTTTAGACAGTTTTGTAGTGTCTCCCATTGCAAGATGTTAAAGCACTCTACTTAAGTGGACGTAACACAGATCCATTCTGAAATTGAGCTAATTACCCTGTTTCCCTGAAAATAAGACCTAATTTGAAAATAAGCCCTAGTATGATTTTTCAGGATGCTCGTAATATAAGCCCCACTCAAAAAATAACCCTCAGTTAAGTGAAACCCTGCCCTCCACCATTGTGCAGCAACCAGAAGAAGATGACATGGCTGCATTTGAATACAGTAAATGTAGATTGTTGTACATGGGAAAAAAATCCCCTGAAAATGAGCCCTAATGCATTTTTGGAGCAAAAATTAATACAGTGGTGCCTTGCTTAACGACGATAATCCGTTCCAGGAATATCGCCAGTAAGCGAAAACATCGCAAAACGAAATTAAAAACCCAATTGAAATGCATTGAAACCCATTCAAGGCGTTCCAATGGGGTAAAAACTCACTGTCCAGCAAAGATCCTCCATACAGTGGCCATTTTCGCTGCCTGTAAAACGAGAAATCAGTCCCTAAACACAGCGGGGAGCCATTTTAAGCACCCGGTGGCCATTTCGAAAACCTGATGATCAGCTGTTTTTGATCGTTGTAAAGCGAAAATCGATTCCCGAAGCAGGGAACCGATCTTCGCAAAGTGAAATTCCCCCATTTAGACCATCGTTGCGATCACAAAAAGATCGTTGTAAAGCGGATTCATCGTAACACGGGGCAATCGTTAAGCGAGGCACCACTGTATAAGACCCCATCTTATTTTCGGCGAAACATGGTACTAAAAGAAAATTTACACTCTTTACCTAACAGATCAAACAAAACACAGAATTTGACCATGCAGATACAAAACATTAATAAACTAAACTACATGCCAGAATCCAACTGACAAATGTGGAACCCCTAAGGGGCTTTGTAGCAGGAGCATTTTGCATTTGCTCTGGTGATCTCTGGCATGCATTTGCACTAACAGTAGGTCACCTGGTTGAAAACAATTTCTTATTGTGTAAATGATGAAGAGTAACTGAGTGTGTAACAGATGGTTTATGAGCAACAACACATTTACAATATTTCCAAGTACTGTACTTTAAAGAGAGTTAATCTACAGAGCATAACACTTTCAGAGAATACTGGGGAAAGAGCAATCTATTCTGGAATCTGCTTAGTCTCCTAACCGGATGTAGTTCTGGGCACCACATTTTATAAGGGTTGTAAGCTAACGTGGTGGCACTGCGGGTTAAACTGCAGAAGCCTCTGTGCTGCAGGGTCAGAAGAACAGCAATCATAAGATCAAGTCCACATGACAGAGTGAGCTCCCGTCGCTTGTCCCAGCTCCTGTCAACCTAGCAGTCCAAAAGCATGTACATGCAAGTAGATAAATAGGTACCACCATGGTGGGAAGATAACAGCATTCTGTGTCTAGTCGCACTGGCCACGTGACCATGGAAACTGTCTTCGGACAAACTCTGGCTATATGGCTTGGAAACAGGGATGAGCACTGAGCCTAGAGTCGGACACGACTGGACTAAATGTCAAGGGGAACCTTTACCTTTACCTAAGCTAACTGAAGTGTGCCCGGATAAAGGCAACTAAGAGGGCCAGCATGTATAAAAAACAGACTTATTCTCTTCTGCTCCAAGTGCAAGATTAGTTGGAACTTGCTGTTGTAATGCAATAGAGATTATTGCACTGATTAGCATCATCAGCAGTTTTTAAAAGCCTCCATTTCATTCAAGCTACAAGACCCAAATGAAAATCTTGATAAATTTTGTTCAGCACCCCAACTCTTTTTTCTCAGGTTACCAGAGTTGCTTCTGAAATTTGGAGGCAACTGCAAAGAGCCTTTGCATCTTCCCACGTTACAGAGCCTCATGAAATCACAGGGCACAGCCTGATCTCCCATTACGTGGCTAACCAAAGCAACAGGAAGTAAAAACCTTCCACAATGCCAGAACTGCAAATGCTGGCTGCAGCCACTTCTGCAGTGGTATCATCATCAGCAGCAGCAGCAGCTGTCAAGTCAATTCTGACATATGTTGACTATTTTCAGGGTTTTCTAGGCAGAGAGTATTGAGAAGTGGCTGACAATGTTCTTCTCCTGGGGGCACCATGGGACTGTGCAGTTTGCCCAAGGCCACACAGGCTTTTCCAGGATGCACAGGAGGGAACTGAACTCCCAACTTCTAGCTCCACACCATCCACCTAATTCACTGAGCTATCCTGTCAGTATTCTGTAGTGGTCTGGGTGGTGCCCAAAGGTAAGGTATGCAGTATAGGTGTTGCCCATTCCTGATTTAAGGTATCTTCAGATGGGACAGCCTTCTATACCCAGCACCTTCCAGATGTTTTAGACTACAATTTCCAGCATCCTGTATTCTGAGTAGACATGCTGGAAGCTAACAAGCCAACTCTTGTGGAGGGCAGTCAGCTGATGAGTGCTGGTTTATGATCATCTTCCCCAAAGCCTCAGAAGAAACAGGTGAGAACTATCTTGTAACCGGCTCATTGTTGTTGACGACACCATACAACCCGCTTCCACCGGGCGCCCCTTTTAGAGTCGCTTGCCAACAGATACACTAAATCAGGATACAAGCCTCCCCAATTCAGCAGCGCTGCCTAGCGGTTAGACCTGTACTGAACACATCCACACGTGCTGACTCTAAAGTACACGAGATAGGCACGTTCCAGACGGAAGCCCTGCAATGCAAGCCTGTACATGATTATAGACAAGCCGGTTCCGCGGAGATTTCCTGGCACTCACTCCCAGGTTCAAGGCTTTCTCCGAAAGGAACCGACTCCAGGCTACCGCAAACACCCAAGCGCCGCTAAAGGGCTACAGCCTCCGAAGCAGGGGAGACAAGGCAGGCCCCAAACCTCCCTCGGGGAAAAGAAGGCAGGTTCGGGGTTTCGACAGCCCCGTCGTCCTGGTCGCCAGGGGCCCCCCTCTTCCTCCTCCTCCACTAGCCAGCGCTTACCATCAGGGGCGGCCCGGCAGGCAAGCAAGCAGGCAGGCGGGCAGAGAAGCCGCAGCCACTGGCCGGCGTCGGAGCAACGCGCGCAACCCCCCACGGGCCCCCACCGCGCGGAGCCAAACTCCACGCCTCGTCGCGCTCTGATGATGTCGCAGGCAGGTCCCTCCAATGAGGGGGTTTCTCTCCGCCTCTCCGTTTCGCGTGGATGCTGGGAAAGGAAAGAAGAAGGAGGAGGAGGCGCGGCGCCCCGTTTGCAGGGGAGCTTGGGGGGCTGCTACACCGCGCTTCCCCCCATGGAGACGTCCGGGCTTGCGGCGCCTCCGTACAATCCCTTACACACCAGAGCCGGCCCCCGCTTGTTATCCATTCATGCTTATTACCCAGTAATTAGTATTCACAGGGACGGTGGGAACCTAGTTCAGCTGCTGTCAGTGCCTCACTTCCAAGAAGCACCTGTAGCTGCCAAGCCACGGGCATAAACGACGTGGGGGTCTGGTTTTTGTTGCTGATGTCGTGGGTAGAGCGAGGGACTCAGGAGACCTTGGCTTGAAAGGGAGGGTGGGGGATGGTACCGGTAAAACCACTCCTTAAATCTCTTCTGTTGAAAGGTCTATTAGAGTCGCTATAAATCGGTCCTAATTTCTGAATAAGGCCTTCTGGAAGCAAAGATACGGTGATAAGCAGCATCGCGTGGATGGTTGTTGCGATTCCATAGCATCCGCATCTCTTTTCCCCCTTCCTCTTATTTTTAGCACGCTCCCGCCCATTTGACCCGCTTTGTCTGCTACTTTCCTGCATACAACTAAATGCATACTTAACCTGGGATAAACTTTTTTTTAACGTGGCCAGTAAGGTCATCGGTTCGGGCTACATCAGTTGTGGGTGAAAAACGTTCCCAAATTAGATGCTCCTGTTCTTTCAAAGGCAGCTTTTGGTAATATAGCGCCACCCCGTGAAGTTTCAGCAAAGTACTTCAATGACTGAGTGGGTGCAATAGCTGAAGGATGGTTTTCAATGCATTCCTATGGGAAATGCAGATTTGACTTGAGAACTTTTTGACTTGAGAACCGCCTTCCAATACGGATTAAGTTCTCAAGTCAAGACCCCACTGTAGCTGAAGAATCTCTTTGTTCTCGTTCAAGAGCAGGGTCACAGTATTGAATTAAATTGACGAGGGATTGGGGTTTTTAAATTTGATTTAAAATCATGTGGTTTTCTGGTTTGGTGTATCCTCTTGGAAAAGCGTTTAATCCGTTTTTAAACTGTGTTGTATATTGATGGTTATAGGTTTTTCAGGCTGTTTGTGTTCTTGAGGTTTTTCTTCCTAATGTTTTGACAGTCTCTGTGGCTGGCATCTTCAGAGGACAAGAGTCAGAACTCTCTGTGCTCAACTATCCCACAAAATTGCACCAACAACTACTTCTATTATTTCAAAACAACTCAGTTCAGGTAATCAGCTGTAATCAGAGGTCAGGGTCCAAAGCCAAATCACACAACATAGTCCAGGGTCAGAGTCCAAAGCCAAGGGTCCAGAGAACAAAGTTCAAGGTAGTTAGGAGTATGGATGCAAACCAGAGATTTGACTTGTTCCTTCCATGAGCTTCCCAGCCATCTGGGAGCTGATTATATAGCAAAACAGTCATCGAACCGCTGGAAGCCTTTCATCCTGTCAATACTCAGGACTAGCTGACCTGATGTTTCTGCGGGCAGCATTGAGGCGATCCTCTGACCTTTGCGTCATAAGTCTTTGCCAAAGTCTATCCCTTACCCTGGCTACTGGGGGAGGAGTATCTGGTGGTGATTCAGCTGTCTGTGCTTCTAATCACTCAGCATTCTCCTCAGCTGTAGTTACCCCCTCACGTTCCAGATCTTCAGCAGAACTCATGACATCGCAGTGCCTTTTTGTAATCAACCCCTTTCTCTCCTTTCATGTCTTCCTCCTGGACTCTGAAAACCCTCCTTCCTCCTCCTTTTTATCCTCTTTCCATATGGATAAAGTTAACTCCTCCCCTTCCTTTCCCTTCTTCTACTAAACAAACCTCTACTTTCATCTCTTTCTCCCTTTTCCCCACTTCCATCACTCCTTCTATTTCCTCTCCTTTTGCTTCTTTTAACAGTTCCTTTCCTTGAGGAGACAGCACGCACTCATTAATTTTCTCTCATCCTATTTCTCCTTCATAATGGCATTGCTTTTGAAGATGGTTTGGAAACTTCAGCTGGTTCAACATGCAGCAGCCAGACTACTGACTGAGGCCAGTTACAGGGAGCATATAGTGCCCCTGCTTCAACAACTGCACCGGCTGCCAGTACATTTTGGGGCCCAATTCAAAATGCTGGTCATTGCCCACTAGATCCCCCTAAGGGGCAAGTTGCACTCGGTCAGAGAGTTTGACAGGCCGCCTACCTACCACCTTTGCGCCTGGGCAAGTCCCAAGACCTCAGCAGTGTGTAGCGTAAGCCCTATGAAGAAGTCTGACCTTAAAAGAACACTTTACGTTTACTCAGTACTTTGCAACTACAGACACATGGGCTTTGTGATTCCTTAGAACTCACTGAAGCTCAGTTAGGTAGGACTCTTGAAAGATAGCTAGTTTGTGGCCCTCTCGGCTTCCTGGATTTAGCAGACCCTGCTGTTGAAGAGACCAGTTCTTTTGTAGAATTTTTATAATTAATTTTTATTAGAAAAATAGAGTTTCATTAGAATCAATTTATATTGCACAAGCATTAGCATCAAGAACATATTCAAAGATCATTGCAATTAAATAAAATAACTATTTCCCATTAAAATAATAAAACACTACTGAGCTGATTTAAGGTGGGTTATAGTGGGCTAGCCCCCACCTCCTTCTTTCTCCTTACTTACATCTTTTCTCAATTAAGTCCTTTTCTCTCCCATCATCATGGAATTGAAATCCAAAACAGAAGAATACACGAACAACTGAACCACATTCAGTTACTTTCACATAACCCATTGTCTATTTTTCTACATTCTCTAGCTCCACCCTTTATGGCAAATCTGGCTATTAACCAATTAACCTTAAGAGGCTGTACCACCTTCCTCCTCCCCTTATTCCCATGAGAGTCCAGGTGTTGCTTATCTCTTCTCCAACTAGCTTGGAATGTCGAGTCTTCCATGGGCCTCTTAATTCGGCCTTCACGCTATCTCAAGCCAGGCTGTAATGGTTTTCAGGAAAACACTCTCATGGCACTTAGAAAAACACATTCCAATGTCTCTCAAATCATCTTCACACAGAACCTGTCTGACTCCATTTTACATTTCTTGACTACATATCCCATCATCATGACATCTCTCTCAGTGCTTTAGATAATCAGAGGAGGCCCCATTGTCAGTGCAGGCATGGTTAATGGGAAAGAGAGCCTTCTCTGTGGCTGCTCCCAGGTTATGGAATATTCTCCCTTGGAAGGTCAGGTTGGCCCTTTTTCTTTCTGCTGACATCTGAAAACCCACCTTTTCAGGCAGGTTTTTAGCAGTCACAACTGAGTCCTTGAATTCCATTTTTTAATTAAGATAGTTTTTGATATTTTGCCTGTTTAATTTATTCAATGCATTTTAATCAGAAGGGGAAGATATGGAGGCAGTGACAGATTTTACTTTCTTGGGCTCCCTGATCACTGCAGAGGGTGACAGATTAGGCATCATTCAGTCTTGAGATACTATGGCAACGTGCTCTGTATGGAGGACTTGGAACAGCATCTAGTGTGGCTGAGAAGGCCAATTTGAGAGGAACAATCCCTTCCGCACTGAAGACAAATACAATCAGTCCCCTGTACAGCTCCCTGATTTTGCAGGTTTCGGGACTGCCTCTTTGCAGCCACAAAATTAAAAGATGCCTACTTCTTGGGAGGAAAGCGATGACAAACCTAGACAGCATCTTAAAAAGCAGAGACATCACCTTGCCGACAAAGGTCCGCATAGTCCAAACTATGGTTTTTCCAGTAGCGATGTATGGAAGTGAGAGCTGGACCATAAAGAAGGCTGACAGCTGAAAAATTGATGCTTTTGAATTAGGTGCTGGAGGAGGCTCTTGAGAGTTCCCTGCACTGCAAAGAGAACAACGGAGGAGCGTACCTGCATACAGAGGGAACCAAAGACCATCTGCCGGCCACAGCCCACTGGGTGAGAGGCAGTGGAACTGTGGTTGGGCCCCTGTTGGATGCTAGCTCTTTCTCAGGGGAGCTGGCTCAGCCTTCCCCTGTTCCTGCAGCGAGGGAACCAAAGACCATCTGCCGGCCACAGCCCACTGGGTGAGAGGCAGTGGAACTGTGGTTGGGCCCCTGTTGGATGCTAGCTCTTTCTCAGGGGAGCTGGCTCAGCCTTCCCCTGTTCCTGCAGCATTAGGCCCTGCTGCTCCCGGCTGCCTCAGCCCCCTCTCAACATGAGCTACATGGCTGGGAGGGATAGAAGGGGCTTTAGAAAGGTTTTATTTTATATATGTTTTAAATGTTTTTCAATTGTTATTAATTGCCATCAATTAATAAGAGACCCACAGCGGATCTAAGGGAACAGGAAGGGGGGAGGGCGTTGGAGGGGGCAGCCATTGAGGTGGTGCTGGGTAGGGGAAGGAATGGCGGTGGGGGTAGGACATGCCCGCGTAGGAGAAGAGAGGTTAGATATCTTACATCTATCCCCTCTTCTAGTCCTGCCCC